AGGAATGCCCAGCAACAGAGAGGCGGGCCCTGCTCAGGCGCACTGCATGGAGGCCACGGCCGACAGCGCTCCACGCCTCAGAGCCCTTCGCAAAGGCCACATAAAGCGTGTGCTCCAACCACTGTGGGATGAAGTCAGAATCAGTAACAGAAAGCGTTTTACAAAGCCCAAACAGGAAAGCAAATAGACCTTTAAATAAACAGCCTAGGAGAGGACCAGTAATGGTGTAGTGGTGATATTGATGGATTCCCACGTGGGCGACTGCGCTTTGAATCCCGGACCCAGAGGCTTGAAACTCATGGCTGGGCATGTGTGCGTGCATGTCCAAAATACCGAGAGGAGAATGGAAGAAAAGGGATTGTGGCACGGCCGTCGCCCCTAGGAGGGATTTCTCACTCTGTTTCTCTGTCTCTCTCTGTATCTCTAGCATGTGCACATGCCCTATAGCAAAATCTCTCTAAAAAAACCTTCTGGGGCTGGGAGGTGGTGTGGTGGTTAAGGGCTCTGGACTCTCACAGGGCCAACCACAGTTTGAGTCCTGGACCTGATGGCTTGCTTTCTCTCTCTCTCTCGCTCTGCCCCTCTCCAGTCAAATTAAAATAAATAAATAAAGTTAAATAAAATAGTTATTAAAAATAAATAAATAAATAATCCAAGAGTCAAAAAAATAAATCAGGGACAAGCAGGTAGTGTGGTGGTTAAGGTGTTGGACTCCCACACGGTTGGCCATGGTTCGAGTCCTAGACAGACATCTTGAAACGCACGCTGGGCACGTGAGGGGGAATGGAGGCGAGGGGACTGCAGCATGGCCACACCATGGGTGATTGCTCACTTTCCCTCTCACTGTCTCTCTGGGGAGCACACACATCCTATGGCAAAAACCTTTTAAAAAGAAAAAGAAAAAAAGAAATCAAAAGGGGAATTATTTTCTTTAAAAATCTTTAATGTGCCAGAGGGCATGTGTACTTACCAGGAAGAGACAGACAGAGAGCATGAGGCGCGCAGCAGGGCAGGGTCACGCCGCAGTCCCTTCCCTCCAGCTCTCTCCACCCTTAGGTTTTAAGCTGCCAGCTCTAGAATGGAACCATGCGGATCCAGCCCTAACCACCAGGCCACAGGGCCAGCCTCCGAGGAGAATTATCAAAGAAATGCTATCTGAGGAGAACTCATCCAAGGGTTTAAAACCGCAAGCGGAAGCCCAAGTGGCACTGGAAGGGAGCTGGTCTAGCCGAGTGTCTGTAGGAGGAGACTGGCGTTGATCAGCCTCTACTTTAACACCAGGGTGAGAGACGCGAACGAGAGCCAGAGAGTGAGCCGGTGACATCCACAGCAGGCAGCAGGACCCGGAGAGGGCACAGCCCTCTCAGCGGGAGACCCGCCAGGGAGACAGAGAATACGACCACCAGCCTGGGAACCCGGGAGGTCCTGGCCAGCGGGGCAGAGAGGGTGTAAGGGGCACGAGGAGCGGCCTGTGCCCCAACAGCGTCGACGGTCAGGCCGAGCACAGATCCCTTGAAAGTGGTGACGCAAGACGCAGGGACAGACGACATGCACAGAGGCGTGGCTCTCAAACACCGGCTCACAGAGAGCTGCCAGCCCAGCGCTGTCAATGATGGACCCTACCAACTGCCTAAGAAAAGCACACCAATCCCCAGAGGACCTCCCAGAAAATGAATGAGGACAGAAACGCCCCACAACTCATCCCTGAGGTCACATCACCCTGCTGTCAGACGGTGTAAGAAGACACGGCAACAGACCAGAGCACTTCCTGACAGGCACACAGACTCTAGTGACCTTTTAAGGCAGGTATGCACCAGGAGCACCCCAGGGGCTTATCCCAAACAAAGGCTTTCACATGGAAAATGAGCAAAGGTTCCTAAGGGTTAATGCTTGAAAAATCAACAGCGCACTTCACCAGATTTATAGACTTAAAAAGAAAAACCACGAGATCGTTTTGGGAGACATGGAAAGTCTCGGCAGAGATCAGTGTCCTTTCAGGATGCAGACGCTCTGGCGACAGGCGGGACAGGAGGGAGGGCGCTGGCCCCGCTCAGCTGCAGTATGGATTTGATGCAGGTCCAATTTATCACACTCCACTCCGGGCCTGCTCACAGCCGAGCAGGCCAGGTCCTCCGTGGGCAGGGAAGCCAGAGACGGAGGTGGGACCGTCACTGTTAGGTGTCGGCGTGGCCCATGGGGGCTACAAACTGCACTGAGAACAAATGAGCAGGCTGTGCACAGTACCGATATACAGAGATCGATTGCATTTTCTGACACTAGTTAATAAAAATCAAAAAACAAGAACATTTACAGTACCGTTAAAAAGTATGAAACTCTCGGGGTACAAGTGGCAAAGACCTGCACTGCACGTGGGAAGCTACAGCACACAGGCCGGGAGGTGCAGTGGAGGTTACGACAGCTCGGTCCCCCAAAGCCGACGGCGTGGTTCCAGTACCAGACCCAGTGGCCTGAAATCAGGCCGGGCGCATGTGTCAAGGAGCTTGAAATCCCAAGAGGAGAAGAGACTGTGGCACGGCCACCCATGTGGCAGGGAGTGATTTCTCTCCCTCATCTTCTCCCTTTTTCCAGCAAGTGCCCACACCTGATAGCAAAAATAAACCAAACAAAAAACTAAAATGACAAGTACAGAACACTGCTAAGAGACATTCGACAAGGCCGGAGTGAACGGAAGGCACAGTGCCCCCATGAACTGGGGTTCAATCCTGCTGTCAAGTCTACCTATCTGACATAAGATTCCATGTCATTCTTACCTACATTCTTATGGTTTTCTGCAGAAACTAGCAAACTGATCATTCATATGGAACTGCATGCTTGGAAAACCCAAGACAATTTTTTTTTAAACAATCAAGTTTGAGGGATAGCATTATTTGATTCTAAGATTTATTTAAAAAGCCCCAGTAATAAAGACCATGTGGTACCGACAGGCAGACATGTGGAACAGGACAGAAGGAATTCCAGAAATAGGGTCATGTATAGCCAATTAATTTCCAGAGTTGCCAACCCGCTCACTGAGAACCACCTGACCCGCACCTCCTATCGTAATGGAAGTTAACGTGTTTGCGTCTGTGAGTCACAGACTTTTATAAAAGTAAGCTTACAAGATGTTAGAAGACAGCAGAGGAGAAAATCTGAGAACCTTAGAGCACACAGACATTCCTTAGGCAGGACACAGAGGCCGTAAACCAAAGCAGCAGAGGGACTGGGCCTTCATCAACTCCAGAGCGCCTGCTCTTGGAAAGACGGTCACACAGATGCAGAATGAGGTCAGGCTGTGAGAAGACATCTGTGGGCATGCACCCCCAGGAGCCTGCTTCCAGAATACACTACAACTTTTTATGACGCAGTATTAAGACAGATGACTGGCGCCAGCCCGAGGCCTAGAGGTCAAAGTGACTGGAGTCCCCGTGGCCAACTAAGCAGTTCAAGTCCTGGCCCTGGAGCTTGAGAGGCATACCAGGCATGTGTGTGTACACACCCAGCATCCCCAAAGCAGGGAGAGACGGAGAAGGGTTACAGCGTGGCCGCCTCTCACGGGCGCTCTCCTACTCCTCCAACCAGCCCTGGCCTCTGTCTCTCTCTGGCAGGTGTACAGGCCCTCTGCCAAAATTTTTAAAAAGACAACAAATAACCTAGTTGGTAGACATTCGTCACAGAAGACACCAGATGGCAAGCACAAAAAGATGCTTAACTTGTTAGCAATCACAGAAGCCTGCCACGAGACACGCCGCCCACCCAGCCCACGCATGGTTAGCAATCACACAGAAGCCTGCCACGAGACACGCCGCCCACCCAGCCCACGCATGGTTAGCAATCACACAGAAGCCTGCCACGAGACACGCCGCCCACCCAGCCCACGCATGGTTAGCAATCACACAGAAGCCTGCCACGAGACACGCCGCCCACCCAGCCCACGCAGCACTGACGGGGCGTGGGGAGGGTGCAGCACACACGGCTGCGGTGTAAGTGCCATGACTGCTGTGGGAACACCACGGCAGACTGGATGTCAGGCCGGGCGGCAGGGTGCAGGCGGCAGGCACTGCTGTGTCCCAGTGGGAAGGCCCGGGCTTGTTCCCGGGTGCACCCATAAGCCAGTATGACCCGGCTGGAGAGACAGGGGCTACAGCGAGGCAGACCCGGCAGGAGTCCGTCTCTGTCGCTCTCTCTCTCTCTCAATGCACAAACTTAAAAAAGAGGCTGGCCGTGCACCTGCCTCCCTGTCCCCACTAGAAATGAGGCGTGTCCGTTCGAAGACCTGATGTGGTTGTTTGTCACGAGATTAGGCTGCAAAGAATCCAATTTTTTTTTTTAATGAGAGGTTCCTTTTCTCTCTTTAGTTAATATTATTACTTTTAAATCTGCTCTAGGGCCCATGCATTCACTAGAGAGAGGCAGAGAGAGAGAAAGTGAGAAAGCAAGCTGCCAGGTCCGAGACTTGAACTGTCATCCACCATGTGGGAGTCCAGCACCTTAACCGCTGTGCCACCTGCTGGGCCAAGAGCCCAAGCTTTTATCAGCAAGTGAATGGAAAGCGAGCTGTGCTGCGTCCACGGCACACAATGCGGCTCCGCAGTGAGAACCGGCACATGGCAAATCCACGCGGCAAAAGTGAGTCCAGACAGTCACGGCAGGAACGCAGCCATATGGTTCCATGTCTGTGACACTCTAGAAAGTGTGACAGCAATCCACGGGATAGAAGGCAGGTCCGTGTGTGCTGGGGAGCAGGGGTGGGGACCATGAACCACAGCGCACATGGGACTATCTCCCTGGGAGGAGGGTATGTGACCTTGACGGTGTCAACAGGTCACCACTGCACACTTCACGCATGCAATTTACTGTATGTCAATTACAGTTCAACACATCCATTTAAAAATGCAAATAAAATACCTCGACTTGAAGGTCCTGGCGCCTGGGATTGTGAACAAAGAAAGTGAAGTTCTCCTCCCACACAGGTTCATTGGTTTTGTAGCGAATCTGGAAGAAACACAGCTGCATCAGTTTGACAGAGGGCTACTGGCACTGCTGTCGTCTCGTGTCCCCCAGAGCACGTGTGGAGAGGCTGGCAGTTGCAGGACTCCCAGAGTGGGCTGGAGTCAGCCGCGGCTGAGAGTGGGGCCTCTGGGAGACGGCAGGGGAAGGCCATCAGGCTAGGCCAGGCCGACTCCTGGTGGCTTCATGAGGAGAGGGAAGGACAGACAGTAAGAACAGATGCTGAACAAATATCTGGTTTTATAAATTACCCACATGCAGGTATTTTCTGTCCTTAGCAATGGCACAGACTAGAACACACATTGTGCTTACATCTAATGACTTTAATTACAGTCCAAGTCACATACGTCCTGAATGGCACTGTCACGCAGTAACTGTGGAAAGGGTTCCAAGGTGGAGAGACAAGTCAAGGCGTTCAGTGCTAGGATGACGAAACTGCTATAAACCCCAACCCATCTGCCCAATGGTCAGAGCCTGTCTGCACGGCTGGCTCTCAGTGCCCAGGACGGCGTGAACAGGCCGTCATTCCTCGGGTGCCAGCAAGTGACAGCGAACCAGACCCACAGCTTGAGTGAGTCCTGAAATGACTTCTCTCACACCAAGAAAGTAGAACATGGGAGCCAGCAGATGGCGGTGGTTGAGGAGCTGGACACTCCTTCAAGTCGTGGCCCTAGCAGCCTGCTTCCTCACTTTTCCCCTTTCTCTCTCTCTCTGGTGAATTAATAAAAAATGATAAATGGGACCAGCAGTTAGCGTAATGGCTATGTCGCTGGCTATGTCCCATGTAGTCGACTGCGGTTCATGTCCCGGACCCAGTGGCTTAAAATTCATGCTGGGCGCGTGCACATGTATGCCCAAGATCCCGAGGGGAAAATGGAGGAGAAGGAATTGCGGTGTGGCCATCCCCCCTGGGGGATGATTTCTCACTTTCTCTCTGTCTGTCTCTGTCTGGCGAGGGCACACACCCTATAATAAACACCTCTCCATAAAAAGAAAGAAAAAAAAAAGATAAATAAATAAATAATTCTTTTTAAAAAGGAGGTGGGAACATGCTATGGCAACAGCAATGCCCTCTTCCCATTTCTGGGCCTAACTGTACCTGTTGAATGTGAAGCATTGCTGGTTACTCTCAAACCAAGCATCTGTCGAGTACTCAAAAGGAACTTAGAAATTGACCCTGACCCTGCCCGTGAGTCAGACAGGCGTCGCACCATGTTATTTTCAAACATTTTTGAAAAAACGGACCACATGTTTGATACCAAATTTATTAGCTGGTTATCTACCAAACAACTAACTTAAGGAAAGAGATGGAAAACAGTGGTCTTGATGCGTACAGCACCACACAGCTCAGACACCGCCGGGCTGCAGCTCCACGTCCCCCTTCGAGTCCCGGTGACCGCCAGGAGTGCAGGGCAACCCGGCCGCGCACGCCGGCGTCTTACCTTGCTCTCTTGAGCCTTGTGCCCAACCGACATCTGGACGAGGGGGTTTGGGCTGCTGCTTGTTTTCTTCCCGGACTATCCAAAACAACACAGATGCAATCCGTAAGTAAGCAAGCTTTGAGTGGCTTATTAAGAGGAGATCACTGGCCTCTTTCAACAACCATGGCTATTTACCACTGCCTTGTCGGATGCAGGGTATCTGGGGACAATTTAACTGGAGAACAACTGCCTGACATTCCCCGGGCTGTAACCCTATCTCCCATAAAGGAAGTTAGAAAACTTACATTTGCACACGGTTTTTAAATGTTAAGTAAGCTACTTTGGGAAAACAGAATCTTCTGAAAATCTTTAATGTTAATTACAGTTCTCAAAACGCATTTTATTTACAACAACTAAAGTGCAATGAATAGAAACTGAAAAACATAAGAGACAGATGTAAAGGAACGTGTAATTCAGCATATTTCTCCAGTTGGAATAATAAAAATACTACGAAGTTTTCGGATACATGGTTTTCCATTTTAAGCTTAGTAGCCTCTGCTTAAACATACAGCCAGGTAACAAATCTTGATTACCAGCTCTAAGTAATTTTGACTGGAAGAATAAACATCATTTCAGAACTGCAATAAATTAAATAGATATCAATAAAATTTTAAAATGAAAATTTAAAAATGGTAAGAAGCACACTTTAGCAGACAGCTGATAGGAGAAAAATTATAAAACACAACGTATATGTGACATGAGGTTTATTTATAACTTAGCCCCACGAGAAGATGCAGTTAAATATGTGTGTTAGTGGAAATTAATTAGAAGGTCACAAAAATGTCTTTAGTTAAATAATTTTAGAGTCAATCCTCAACACTGCAGCAATGACAGAAGTAGGCGTCAAAATCATTAATTAATGAAAAAATGACTAGCCCAAACCTACTGCGATAATCTATTTTCTGGTTCATCTTTTTGATGTGAATGAACTCTGCAAAATGAAATAGATACTGTTAAGAAAAAAGTCCAATGCCATAGGCTACTGTGGCAGAAAACACGCCCTTCGCCCAAGTCCCCTGTCCTTCCTCCACGCCGAGCCCCACGCTGTCCATGCGGATCCTCTACTGTCCGTCCCTACAGCGAGGCAGCAGGCGACCAAGGGGACAGCACCTGCCCACACGCCACAGGGGAAAGCACAGGTGGCCGGGCAAGCACAGGCTGGGTGCTGCTGTACTGGGGGAGGAAGCTGCTGACCTGCTGAAGCCACTGGCCTGTGATTCTCTGACCCAGAGGCCGAGCGGCTTCCCAGCTAACGGGAATGCCTCATCACTGAAAGAGCGGCCATTCCCTCCTGGAGATTTACTGTTAATACTTTAGCTTAAAGACACACCTTTTCCCCACTTTGAAACACCTCCCACTTGAGGCCATCGTCGACCCGCTTTGAGCAGCTCAGTGGGACAGCTGCTGCCCTAGCAGATTCACTTCACTGACACGCCCTTTCACGTATGTCTGTGAGTGATGTGGTAGGAATCTATGCTTATCCTAAGGCAGAAAACTCAGTAAGTATAAAATAAATACGATCGAAACTTAACGGGCACTTAAAATCTTTCCTAAGAAAAACATGTTATGGAACATAAAGTAACAGTGCACCCTAAAATGAATGATGTTTAAGATCCTATGAAATGAAGTCTTATCATTGGGACTCCCCCAGTGGCCAGCACAATTTGGGGTGCAAAGTTCGATGGCGAGGCTGCCGTCAGTCAGGCGGCCCGCGTCCATCTCGCTGTCTAGCACTTCGCTGTCCAGCACTTGATCATCAAGAATGACAGTCACCTCTCTGACCTCAGTTATCATTTCCAGAGCCTCGGTACCATGGGAATGTCACACGTACATATTGTCATCTTAGCTGCGGTGACTGCTACGCATGCAACATAATTCACTCAGCAATCCAATACAGAAGACATGGCTTCCATTCTGTAGGTTACGACACAGAGTGGATGAGACAGCTCACTGGGAGTTACGCTGCTGGAGCGAGCAGGACTCCAATCGGGAGAGGTTCCGACACTCTTCACTCCTAACCCTAAGCATCTACGGGTCAGGAACTGTCAGACAACAGGATATGGATGAGGAGTGCGGGTACGGCTCCTCTGAGTTCCGGTGGGGAGGTGGGTAGTCCCCCACTATGCCAGGCTTGTTTCCGCAGCCTGAGGGGCAGGGCGGCCGCAGTCGCTGCGCTAGGGAGCACACCCGGCCGGTCTCCTTCACCGTGAGAGCTAACCTGTTTTCCTAGATGGACCTGGGGAAACACTGTCTCTGTTTCTTCGGGACACAATTTTCTCAAAACAATTACACTGAAAATTTGAAAATTCTCCCTCTCCCCCAAATGTTTAAGCTTAAAATGTCCACAGAGATTACAGAAAAAATAAAACATTGTAAGTCATAAAAAAACTTGTAACAATTTAGTCAGGGAACACATGTCAATGTCACATTTTAGGAGTGGAGCTTAGTTCTCAATATACCTCATTTGCTGAAATTTAAAGCTCTTGAAGGATCTGTCACCACACCAGCGCCAGCTGTAAGGAGGTTGCAGACTCAGAGGTGAGGAGGGCCCTAGCCAACATATTGGAAGAGGTGAGGTCTCAGATACATACTTGCAGCTCACAGGGCATTCCTTTAAATTATCATCTCAAATTTGGCTATTCGAAATAAGATTGTAAACAGAACTTCTTTGTCATTGTTTCCACAAATTTAAATCCAACTGAAGTACAGATGTCGAGACTACTTTAGAGAGAACTGACTAAGGTCAATGGGAAAGAAATCTACTTCGCTGCATTCGTACTTTGTGAAACGTATCTTCGGAGCTGACAGAAGTTCTGACGACGAGCTCTTAAACGAGAGAAGGAGCTCTCCCTGTGGACAGCTGGCCGCTGTATTAGCAGGGAAGGAGCTTCACCACACCAGCGCCAGCTGTAAGGAGGTTGCAGACTCAGAGGTGAGGAGGGCCCTAGCCAACATATTGGAAGAGGTGAGGTCTCAGATACATACTTGCAGCTCACAGGGCATTCCTTTAAATTATCATCTCAAATTTGGCTATTCGAAATAAGATTGTAAACAGAACTTCTTTGTCATTGTTTCCACAAATTTAAATCCAACTGAAGTACAGATGTCGAGACTACTTTAGAGAGAACTGACTAAGGTCAATGGGAAAGAAATCTACTTCGCTGCATTCGTACTTTGTGAAACGTATCTTCGGAGCTGACAGAAGTTCTGACGACGAGCTCTTAAACGAGAGAAGGAGCTCTCCCTGTGGACAGCTGGCCGCTGTATTAGCAGGGAAGGAGCTCTCCCTGTGGACAGCTGGCCGCTGTATTAGCAGGGAAGCTGTCAGCACACAGACACAGAAGCAGACGTGCCATCTCTTTCAATATGTTTTCGTTAACTTAGCAATCTTAAGGGAGAACTATTAGTTTACCTTGAAAGCTTTCTGAACTGCAGCCTTCTTCAAGACATCGGGGTTAAATTCTAATGGGTTACTCTTTCAAGTCAGAAGAAAATGAATATACCAAGGGTTAATAAAACATGCAATGAGGAGTTTATGTAGTTAATGACAAGAAAATTTATGGGAGTGAACAAACCAGAAAAATCCTCAAACACAACCACACGACCTGCACAGACAGTAAAAGCCGTTTGGACAATTCTCTCCCCGAGATGCCAGCTCAGAGTGCGTCTTCAACCCACAGCGTCAGACACCTTATCCACCTTCCCTCACTAGTACCCCCTCCCTCCCCCCCCTCCTTGGGATTCGAGGAAGACGAGGCTGAGACTTGAGGGGAGGACCGTTTGTTCTCTTTGCTGTAACAAGCCCTAACCCTGACCAAGGTACGGACCTATGTGAGGCACGTCGATGGGCCAGGGCCGCCCCGCCCCCAGCCCAGGCTGCAGCATGCCGCACCCATGCCTCCCCAGGTGCGAGTGCAGAGGCTGGCTGTGGCATCTTCCTCCTGGCTTCAGGTCAAATTCTACTAATATGGATTGCATGTCCTGTTCTTATCAACCATTTTCAATTCACTGTTTCCTCACCTTCCCAGTGACAAGAGGGAGTGGTTTTGCAAGTTCCTCTGAGGACTAACATTTATGATTGATGAGTGTATCGTTTTAGTTGTAACCAATTCCAAATAACAACTTGAAGTTAATTGTTAACTTTGTTATTAATCAGCAAACTTTACCAGAAGAAAGATGGACAACTCGCCTCCCTGTCTTCAGTGCCTGGCAAGCTGGGGCAGGTGCAGAGCTTGAACACCTGGCGAGGCAGGAGCGCCCCTGGCACCACAGCCGCCCTGGGCACAGCCTGCAGGGCTCTCGCCGTCCCTGGACGCCTGCGCACCTCCGCGTGAAGCCTGGACCAAGGAGCATTTCCAGTTTCCCAGGCAGGGCTGACAGAAGGGGCTGAGAACCGCCTTCTCAGCACAGGGTGGACATTCTCCCGAGGAGGCAGGAGCCTTCCCTGAAGCCCCCTTTGAACAGCAGTGTCTGTACCGCGCCCACTCATGTCCTAGCACGCAGACAGGGACGAGGACAGGCTGTGCTGTGCAGGCCTCGCGGGGAGAAGCCCGGCCACACAGGAGGCCTCCAGAAGCTGCACACCTGCACCCTTGGGCTTCTCTAATCGATGGGGGTAAAAGCCACTCATGCATCTATTTTTTAATATAAACTTGCACAAAGCACCCACCACCCAGAACGCCCCTAGACTGTGGCACTTCAGGCATCAGTGCAGACAACCCCGTCTCAGACACGCTCCAGACTTGGAACCCTGAGGCAAGAGAGTGGTACAAATTCATGCCACTCAAGGAAGGCATGGACGGGGTGCAGAGAGGGCCCTGGCTGCATGGCTGAGCTCCAAATGCCCTCCACCAGGCACAGACCAAGCCTCGACCTCCAAGTGTGTGTGTGCGCTCTCCCGGGTGCAGCACAAAGACAGCCTGAGTGAACAGGTGTACGTGGAGGCCTCAGAGCTCTGTGTGCTGCTGCTTAGGGCTGGACAGGTGCAAGCTGTCCACCTGGAGGACTCCACAGCTGACCAGCCAGAGTGAGAGAAACTGACGTGGAGGGTCTGATCAGAGGGAGTGTAAGGGTTAAAGCATCTGCACAGCAGTCACTCCTGGCACAGGAGAAATGCCGCTGCTGGAGATTACAGGCAGGTCACTGGGTAGTACACCCAGGAAGCAGACCTAATGAAAGCAAAGCCAAAAGCTACCTTTATCTGCTCCAAGAAATTCTTTTAAGTTCTTTAAGAGAGGCAAATTATAAACTCAGTATAGTTTTCTTTTCCCTTAGGAGTTCTGATTAAACCATGTGGAAGAAGGTACATTTTCATTAAAAACGGGTGAACTTTTGTCTCCAGGTGAGCACTCCTAAGTGACCAAGAGCACTTCCCCGAGTTTAGGGAAAGCCCTGGGCCCTAAACATCTGTGTTCGTTCAAGAGGCAAAAAGAGATGAAGAGCCTGGTAGACGTTTATGGATAAGGGCCGGCAGGTGGCCTGGTGGTTAAGGGCAATGGGCTCCCACACGACCCGACCGTGATTTGAGCCTCAGACCTCAAAAAGCGGTAATCTCTCTCTCCCTCTCTCTCCCTCCCTCCCTGGTCAAATTAAAATAAATAAAGTTAAATGAAATAATTTGGAAAAAAAAGAAGTTTACGGATAAGGATTTGCATCTCACACAGAGACGAAAGAAAAGAGCCCATTTCAGCCACGACAGCTCCCCTACCCTCACCGTCTGTGCGTTTACCTGCGTTGGGGTGGGGTACGCAGCTCCTCGCAGCTCCCTCCCCGCCAGGCACCCTTCTCGGTGTCTCACACCACGAGCACCAAACACAGTGACAGAAACCATGCGACAGAGCAGCATGCCAGGCACCCCACCCCGGTAGATGGCACTGGAGGCTCAGCCGCGTCCCAGGAGTCACCAGCGCGCCAGAGGAAGAAACGCCGGAGGAAGAAACACCGGAGGACGCACAAGCAGCGCTCTACAGACCGAGGCAGCATCCTCACGGAACCCCAGTCCCAACGCGCGCCGCTCGCTCAAGGAGCCGCACCCAGAGCTTCCCTCGTAGACGCTCTTAGGAAAGTGGAGACGGGGGAAGAGAGAAGGGGTGAGTGGTCACTGTGCGCCCCGGAGCACTAATGACACGGGCCAAGGCAGAACCGGAGTGCCACGGCTGCCGGCCTTGCAAAGGCTGCAGGAAACGTACACCCACCGGGTGGCCGCACGCTCACGCTCACGCACACGCACACGCACACGAAGTGCGCTTGCAGGAGACCGACAGGCTTGGCTTCCTTCCTTTCCTTTCTTCTTTTTGCTTACGCAGCATTATTCAAATTTCTATTTAATGTGGCAAAGGACAGAGGCGTAGAGAGAGGCCTAGCCGGTGTCAACTGTGGGAGCCTCCTCTACATCCCAGAACATGCAAGTTCACTCCCATCAGGCACGAGGAGACACTTGAAACACACACTGAGGTTAAAAGCAGAAAGTTGTGCTATGTGAAAAACTGTGGAGAGAAAAACAGAATAAGGTAACTTTTCCCGAGTAGAAATGGTAACAGACTAGGCAGACTTTAGTGGGAAGACTGGCTAGGAGGCAAAGGACGAGAAATGGAAGGGTTTAAAGGTTAGAACTCAGGCAAGGAAGCCACTGGCAGGAGGAGCGCCATGTTGCGTGATCACGCTAACAACACGTGTGACCACACACCCTCCAGCGTGAACACGGGACAGTCACGGTCGAACTGACAGCTCTAAGGAAGCACGCAGGGGCACAGGCAGCACAACCTGAGGGGTGAGACGGGCGGAGGCCACCTCACACGGGAGGCGTGGACGCTGAAGGGCATCTGGGGCCACGATGGGTGGGGCAGCACAGCTAAGCCCAGGCTGTGTGTGGAGAGGCCAAGAGAAATGCCCCTCTCTCTCCTGTCTCCGAGCAACTGAAAGGGGCTGGGCACAGGAAGACGGTCGCTGAGAAAAGCACTCAGGACGGCCATGGGAGGAGGGTCTGAGCGGGGCAACCCTGTGCGGGCCCACAGTCTCTCTTGGTGACACTGGCCCTTGAGTGACTGAGTACGCAACAGCCACTGAGTGAGCGAGCGCGTGGCGCAAGTGCAGGGCAGGCCAGCGCTGTGGGAGAGCACCCTGTGCCTCCGGGAGCGACCCGTCGGGCGTCGCCATGGTTCCAGGCTCTCCCTACACACCTAGGTTGTTCCACAGGAGCAAACAGAAGGCTGCACCATGAGGCCGAGCACGCTCAGAGCCACCGCTTCTGATGCGGCAGCAAAGCCCAGACCCTGAGGGCTCAGCACACTGGCCCACAGCGCGGCCTCCACCCTCTGGCGCCTCCGTGTGCCAGGATGCCCTGGGAGTCTGTCGTCAGAGCTGCCTCCTCTGAGCCACTCAACCCGAGACCTCCATCCTGGAAAATCCGCTCCATAAACATCCACGAACACTCGGGAGCAGATACCAGCACAGCCCTCTCCTGCCCCTCACTCTGAAAGTGAAGTGAAAACAGCCATTCACAAGCAGGTGAACCCGCGTGCTGACCAGAGCGGTGACCACAACGCCACCTGCAGGAAGCGAGCACCCACGTGAGCTACCACCGTGCTACCTACCGGAAGGTTCCTTGCTGAGTCCAGATACAGGATCAGCAATGCAGAAGAAAGACCATCGCTGGCCTGGCCTTTGTCAGCTCTGATGTCTGCCAGCACCTGAGGAGGAACAAACCCGAGCAGCTGTTTCCCTGTGGGCGGAGGCCACGCCTACCTGACCACCGTAAGCCATGCTGATCACGCTCAGATGAGGAGGGCCGGCTGGTGGTGCAGGGGTTAAGGTACTGAACCCCCACATGGTGAGCTGTGGTTCGAGTCTCGGACAGGCAGCTTGAAAAATCACGCTGGTGCATATGCACGCATGCTCCAAGTCCCAAGGAAAGAATGGAAGACAAGGGATTACGGTGTGGCCAGCCCCCCGCCCCCAGAGTAATTTCTCATTTTCCCTCTCATTGTCTCTCTCTGGCAAGTGCACATGCCCTATGGTAAAAACTTACTTTTAAAAAAAATCCCATTCTTGGGCCAGCCCCTGGCCTGGTAGTTTAGGGCGGCTAAATCCCACACGGCTGATCACTCAGTTTGAATCCCAGATCCAGCAGCTTGAGAAACGCACCAGGTACATGTGCATGCATGCCCAAAATCCTCACAGAAGGAGAAATGGCGAGGGACTGAGGCGTGACCATGCCCCACACGGGTTCTACCTTTCTCTCTCCCTGGTGAGCCCTCTGATGAAATCTAGAAGTAACAGCTGAAGGGCCGATCCCAGGAGCACACACACCTACACACCTGGTCGAGCCTGGCCGCGTCGGGAACCAGCGTGAGCCACTCCAGCTTCAAGCGCAGTTTCCCTCGAGGAGCCTCGTCCAAAGGGAACCACTGCAGAGAGAAGGTGTAAGTTCAGAACTTCTCCTGGGTCAGAATTCTAGTTACGCCAGGGCCAGCAGGTGCCATGGTGGTTAAGGGCGTTGGACTCCCACATGGCTGACTGCAGTTCAAGTCCCAGACCTGGCAGCTTACTTTCTCAATTTCCCTCTCTCTCTGTCTGTCTCTCTCTTGTCAAATTTAAATAAAATGATTCTAAAAAAAAAAAAAAAAAAGTTCTAGTTAAACCCATCTCTACAAATGGCCGACAAGTTGCAGCAGCTAGGAGCGCCCACCTCTCCTCGCCATGGTCACTCCAGGCTCACACCTCTGCAGCGCCGCCTGCTGGCAGAGCTGGTTCCGGGCTCTTTGCATACGACACGCCCGGTGACCCTGACCAAGTCCCTGTGAGTAACTGCTGCTAACCCACTTTACACGTGAGGGCCCAAGTGCTTCCTAGCACTGTCTGGCACCAAGAAATCTCTCCTGTGTTCAGACCTCGACATGATCTATAGGCCAAGACAAAGCATAGCACTGAGCCCGAGTACTGCACTTCTCTAGCAAGTGGTCAAGTCTGCTTTTATTCAGCACCATCCACTGAGTACTGAACAGCACACGGCGGCTCAGGGTAACCACCCAGCAGCAACCAGACAGGCCCGGACCCTCGGTGAGACCGCCGGCAGGGTGTCTCCGCAGGCCAAGGCCAAGCCTGACAGACACTGCCGTGAGCGCTGGGTCAGTGCTGACGTGTATCCTGCCCCACGCCGCTGCTCTTGCTGAGTGGCCTGACCTGTCCCTGCGGAGGAGGCACTGCTTGTCCAGCATTAACAGGAACTCCTGCGCTGCGCGGGGGTGCTGGGGGTCACGACTCCCCTGGCACACAACAGGCCTGGTCAGTGCTCACCGAACAGCCCGAAGAGCCAAGCGCACTCACCTCATCTAAAAGGCGCTCCTTTTCGACTTCGGCGAGGTCGATCATGAGGCTGTGGGAGGGACGACACGGGGACTTGAGAACACAGGGACACACTGCTCTGTGTAACTGAGAAGCTGAGCGTCCATCTGTGAGAGTGCTCCAGGAACGTCGCAAAATGCCGCGTGACTGATCGAGAAGCAGACTGTTCTGTCAGCTTCCTCCAGCTTCTGCCCGAGTAGCAAGACAGGGAAGGAGAGGGGGGGTGCGCCTCCGTGACACTGGGGCACCTCAGGAGGCCCCTGGGCTTGGAGCTGGCCAGGTGCACGCAGTCAGCAGGCGCAGGGCACAGCAAACAGCGCTTTCCTGCGGCCCTCCTCGTCCTGCGCTCCAGGCCCTGCGTGAGGCCCGGAGCTCTGCTCAGCGTGTCTGGGAGCCGGCGGGCCCCACGTGGAGAGGTCACGCTTTCGTCTCCTCTCAGAGCCCCTCCCGGCCCCGACCTACGGCGCAGGCAGACCCAGTCTGACGGTAAGCTCCCTGTGGTCTGTCAGCAGCCGACCCAGGCCCCAACAGCCCCATGGACACGTTGTTCCCATGGACCACGCCTGTGACCAATCACACCGGTCAGTCTCCCGGCTGCTCCGAGGTGTCCAAGACGTCAGGACGCAACCCTGGAGGCCACTCTGGAGGAGCCCAAGCCTCCACAAAAGCATCCTTCTAACCCCGCCCTTTTTTTTTTTCTGAGAGGTTTTTGCTGTAGGGAGTGTGCAATCGCCAGACAGAGACGGAGAGACAGAAAGCGAGAAATCACCCCCCAGGGGGGATGGCCATGCTGCAATCCCTTCTCCTCCATTCTCCTCTCGGGATCTTGGTCACGCACGCACACGCACCCGGAGTGAGTTTTAAGCCACGGGGTCCGGGACGCGAACCGCAGTCAACTACATGGGTGTCCAGCGACATGGCCATTACGCCAACTGCTGGTCCCACCAACGCTTTTTTTTGCCACAATAAATTTGTTTAAATAATAACTCAATTAGGTTAAATAATAAATATTAGGTAGAAGTCTAATTTTTCTTTTCAAGAGAGATTTTTGCTATAGGGCACGTGTGCTTGCCTGAGAGACAGAAAGAGACAGAAAGCGAGACATCGCCCCCCAGGGGGCATGGCCACACCACAGTCTCTTCTCCATTCTCCCCTCAGGGTTTTGGTCATGCACGCACACGCGCCCAGCCTGAGTGCTAAGCCTCCAGATGCCAAGACTGAAACTGCTGTCGGCCGTGCGGGAATCAGCGACGTAACCATTACGTCATCTGCTGGTGCCAGAAGTCTCTTTATTAAAAAATCATTTCTCGTGACATCGGTTTGTGAGCAAATGTGTTTACCCAATGTGTAGGCACGACGTAAATCACCACGTGGCAACAGACCCACAACCGGGAAGCTCATTTACTGCCCAGAGCAGTCGCCCACTAGGTCTCTGTGCACGGGGCAGCGTCTGCGCAGCAGGGGACAAGGCGCAGCTGAGGAGGACAGACTGCCCCGTCCAACCGACGGACAAGCAGCTGCATGTGCCCGGCAGCTTCTCTACCAGCACAGACCTACAGGAGCTGCTGCTCATAAACGCGAAACTTCCGAGGAATAAAAATGCTTCCAAAGACTAAGGTAAATGGTACATAGAAGAACCAGTTTAAAATACACCTAACGGGGCTGGCAGGTGGCGTGGTGGTTGACGGCGCTGGGCTCCCACACGGTCGACCGCGGTTCGAGTCCTGGACCTAGGGGCTTTCTGTCTCATTTTCCCCGTCTCTCTCTCTGTCCCTTTGACAAAATAAAAAATAAAGGAAGTTAAATAAAATAAAATATACCTAACATATGAAGACAAACATATTTAAAAACTTACGTTACTTTGTAGGAGTTATTACTGGAGAGAGAAGAACAGACTGACCGCACGCCTCCCCGGGCCACGCAGGCATCACTCACCTTCCTAAGAAGTCGTCTTTGTCGGGGTCCTCGTCAAATAGCTCGATCTCCAGCTCCTGTCCCGGGTGCTCGTACACCAAAGCCTGCAAATAAACAGACGGCAGTGACCCCGTGGCACCCTGCGAGGACGGCAAACACCACAGCCTGCAGGTGCCTCTCAGACGCGTGTCCTGCCCGCCACGCTGCGTCTGGGTGACAGTGGACCCTTCTGACGGCGTGCTCCCAGGGGCACCTAGAGAGCAGTTTGCAGTGATCTGGGATTCTGTACCAAGAGGTCAAAGGTAGTCATTCCTGAACAAGGTCACAGGACGTCCCCCGAGGCCAAGCCCAGCACGTGGCCAGCGTGGAGACAGAGGATGCATGTGGGGAAAACTGGGCCATTCACGTTAGACCTCTACAGCACTGTCTGCAAGGGTGGTTGAGGCCCCAGACACCAGGGAGTGAACGGCAGCACCTGTCTGGGGGGACGGGCATTTAAAACCAGGCAGGCCGGGACGGCAGACAGCGTAATGGTTACGTCGCTGGACACCCACGTAGCTGACTGGCCAAGTCCTGGACCTGGCAGCTTAAAACTCACGCTGGGCACATGTGTGCACGTCCAAAATCCTGAGAGGAGAAGGGACTGTGTCATAGCCATCCCTCATGGGGTGGGGGGTAGGGGCTGATTTCTCACTTTCTGTCCCTCTGTCTCTATCTCTCCAGTAAACACAGGTATGCAACAACAAGAATCTCTCTCTGAAAATAAAGAAGAAGGAAAAAGCCACGCAGACCTCCACCACTGATCGGCAGACACCCAGGAGCGTTACGTGAAAGGTGGCAGACAGCATGGAGCCTGCCTCGCTGTGCGTGTGCTCCGACCACGTGGACGGTAAGACGGGCCTTTGACCTGTGATGGAGGCCTGCCGCCTGCTTACCAACCCTGCGATAGCCTGAGGCAGTGAGGTCTAACCCCAGAGCACAAGCCTGCTGTGAAGGAGGAGGGAGGTCAGATCCTCTTCAAAGTCAAGAAAGGAAAGCAGAGGAGAAGCTGCACGGTGGCCTGAGGGCAGGCTGGAGGCCCCGGCCCTGGGTATTAGCCCACATATTAGCCACACCCAAGCAGCACAGGGCCAGGAGGCTTACCTCGTAAACCTCGTTCCACTTGGGACTCAGGCTCTCTTTGACTACGCTGCTCTGGAAGATCTGGCTGCCAACTCGAATAATCCCATAGGGGTCTGACTTCCCCTTGACAAGTCCTTTAAGGTAAGTGTCTTTCCCCTGAAGATCCTGAGCTTCAATAAAATGTATCCTCAGAACACCCTGAAAAGAACAGACATTTAGACCCTTCGCTGGTTCGCGTAGCAAGAAAGGGGGCAGTCTCACGCCTGAGCCTGACCTAGGAGTAGGGGTGCGGAGAGCACAGAACACAGACCTCTTCCCACGCAGCATCTGCTCCCGCAGGGGGAGACGGTACAAGGGACTGTAACACACGGGCACGGAAAAAACGGGCAGGGCACGGCGGCCCGGGCTGTCGGGGGGTTCAGATGGGTCAGGGCTCTTGGTGAGCAGATGCCCGAGAGACAAATGAGAGTGAACCCTGCGGCATCTGGACGGGGTGTTCGCAGAGGGGACGCCCCACACAGCACTCAACGTGCTGTCCCCAGGATGCCCCACAGCCTGGCCTGGCGCTGTAGCGGGCGGCACCTGCACCAGGGTGCAGCGGGCGGGACCCAAATGAGGGCACGGCAGACAGCATCCAGGGTGACACGCCCACGTGCTGACAAAGCCTTGGGCTGCCTGGGCTGACAGGTGTGGAGCCATGTACCTTCGGGGTAGGGAACCGCAGCTGTGCCATCTGCGCCTCACTGACCAGAGGGACGGTGACGCGGTTGGGGAGCACCAGGTAGTTGGCTATTATGTCCAGGATGACGGTATCTGACAGGCCACTGTTGGAGGGGAGGAAACAGCAGACGGGTGGTCAGCGCTTGCTGCGGCCCCCAACAAGCAGCTCGCGAGCACAATGATCCGTTCCCGGGGCGAGGACTGCCACGTCACTCAGTGCTGACTCAGGGCCCAGCCTTCCGAGACCTCAGCTGTGAAGCAGCTTCAGCGACTCCGTGGGGGTTCATCCATCTCCTGGCTGCGTGTCGTTTCCTAAGTAACTCCACCTACATTCCACAGAGGGAACCCTAAACACCCAAGACCCGTCTCACTGCATTTCTCGTTAACATAAAGCAGACACAAACAGAAGTGCAGAAACCAAGGCAGCATTGGTCCCCCACCCTGCCACAGGCTGCCGGCTGACAGATTGAGACCCGTCCAAGCACAGCTCACCTGTGCCCGGACACTCTGACGGCCTGGAGGCCCTCTACCCCACTGCACGGCCAACTCGCGGTGGGCACAACCACTCGGGCTATAGAACAACGGCACCTGGGGTGCGCTTTGGCCTATCGTCAGGGCCACCGTGGGAACCGGCGTGTGACGGCCCCTTTGAGAGCACACAGCATTGCTACGGAACACCTTCACCTCGTTGGCACGCTTTGAGAGGAAACTTACTCCGTAACAGTACCCTTCCAATGTGAAAAGTGATACGAGTGAGTCAAGTGACCTCACACCCAGCAGACACCAAGACAGAGGCAAGCACCACTGCTCAAGCACGATGACGACGTCTCTGCAAGGCTGGCACCCTGCGGGCCAAGGTGGGACCTCGGTGTACTATGACGAACAATGAACACTTAGTCCAAACCCCAAAACACTGCTCTACGACTCGACCTACGAATGACCAGTGACTCAGACTTCCACAGACTAGGAACCGCAGTTGGCGTAAAGGCTGTCACTGACTCCCATACAGTCAACGTGGTTTGAGTCCCAGACCCGGTGGCTTAAACTCACGCTGAGCCCATGTGCGTGCGTGCCTGAGATCCCAAGAGGAAAATGGAGGAGACGGGACTACGACATGGGCATCCCCCCTGGGGGTGATTTCTCACTTTCTGTCTCTGTCTTTCCTGGTGAGCACACATGCCCTATAGCAAAAACCTCTCCAAAACAAAACAAAACAAAAAGACTTCCACACACTATAGACACTGCGGAAAGTGAGGGCTTCAATGGCCCCTCAAAGCTTTAACACCAAGCCTGTTCTTACTTTTGGCATTTTATTTATACTGCAAGACATGTGGGATAGAAACCCCTCCCTGAGGACCGAGGTGGACTAAAGGCCCCCCCTGTGCACTGCGACAGGCTCGCTCACCTTCCCCTGCACAGCCCCCTCGTCCTGCCACCCCAGGCAGTCTCTTGCACTGTGAGTGTGGACACTGCTCCCTGGTCCCCACTGCAGGTCCCCATGGCAGTACCTCCCAGGGGACCCTTCAGATCCCACCTGTCCCCCGCACTCCTGCTCCTGCCGTGACCCTCACCTTCTCCCCTCCGTCTCGAGCCGCTCACTGGCACGCACAAGGCAGTGCAGCAGCACGGCCAGCCCGTGGGACGGCCACACTGTCCAGCCATCACTCCTGCTCCAAAGGACCTTGCAGCCCTTCTTCTAAATCAATGAACACGGCATGTGGCACCATTTCATGACGTTAGGTTCAGACTACTGGACTTTCCATTTAAAACAAGGATATCTACAACTATGATTTGATAGAAAGTCTCTGAATGGTCCCAATTTATGAATAGTACACTATTGCATGAAACAGAAATTGTTATATTATAAAATTTTAATTATAGGGACCCGCACTTAGCGTAATGGCTATGTCGCTGGACTTCCATGTAGTCGACTGCGGTTCGCGTCCCGGACCCGGTGGCTTAAACTCACGCTGGGCGCGTGTGCGTGCGTGCCCAAGATCCCGAGAGGAGAATGGAGGAGAAGGGATTGTGGCGTGGCCATCCCCCCGGGGGGGCAATTTCTTGCTTTCTGTCTCTCTGTCTCTCTCTCTTTCTGGCAACTGCACACACCCAATAGCAAAAACCTGTCCCAAGAAAATCTTTTAAATTATGTATAAATTCTATGTAAATATATAACTCTATTAAAGGGGGCATTTATACATCCCTTTTACACCGTGTGTGGTGCCTGTGGGAGGGGTGAAGGGCTGATTTAGACAGGGCCTCACGATGTTACAGTTCTCCTGCCTCAGCCTCCTGGGTGCACGCCCCCACACAGCTGCTTCTTCTTTTTTTTTTTAAAGGATTATTTTATTTAACTTTATTCATTTATTTACTTAATTTATTTTATTTTGACCAGAGGACAGAGAGAGAGAAAGCAAGCTACCAGGTCCGGGACTTGAACCGCAGTCGGCCACGTGGGAGTCCAGAGCCCTTAACCACCACGCTACTGCCAGCCCCCACCACACAGCTTCTCAGAGTGGGCTGGGAACTGGTGACTGCAGGAAGAAAGGGAAGGGCCAGTGGCAGCTTAGAAAGAACCTGGGATAGGGGGACCAGCAGTAGTTAGCGTAATGGCCATGTCGCTGGACTCGCACGTAGTCAACCGCGGTTCGAGTCCCAGGGCTGGTGGCTTAAACTCACGCCGGGCCCATGTGCGTGCGTGCCCAAGATCCCAAGAGGAGAATGAAGGAGAAGGGATTGCGGCGTGGCCATCCCCCCTGGGAGGTGATTTCTCGCTTTCTGTCTCTCTGTCTCTCTCTGTCTGGCGAGCACATGCGCCCTATAGGAAAAACCTCTCCAAAACAAACCAACAAACAAAAAAACAGAAAGAACCTGGGATGGGTTAGTTCTGAAACACAGATGCACTTTAAAATTTTGTTTTAGGTTTCTGGGAAAATAATAAAAACCAAAATTAAAAATTAACTTTTCTAAAATACCAAAATAGGAAAATATCCTATAAGAAACAAAGAAAATGAGAGCTAATGGCCCACCCCAATGTCCTAGAACCTTCACTTCTGCTCCTCCAGGTCCCCATGGTTCTACATGCCAGAACAAAACTGGTCACGAGCATTTCACGCGACCCTCGTCAGGAGGGCTAAGAAGGCCCAGAGTCTCCCAGGGGACAGGGCCCACTCCTCCACTCTCCCAGGGGGCAGGCCCGCTCCTCCAGTCTCCCAGGGGGCACAGCCCGCTCCTCCAGCTCCCAGGGGACACAGCCCGCTCCTCCAGCTCCCAGGGGACACAGCCCGCTCCTCCAGCTCCCAAGGGGCACAGCCTGCTCCTCCAGTCTCCCAGGGGGCAGGTCCGCTCCTCCAGTCTCCCAGGGGACACGGCCCGCTCCTCCAGTCTCCCAGGGGACCACGCCCTCTCTCCCAGGGGACACGGCCCGCTCCTCCAGTGTCCCAGGGGGCACAGCCTGCTCCTCCAGCTCCCAGGGGGCAGGCCCCTCCTCCAGTCTCCCTCGGGGAAAGGCCCACTCCTCCAGTCTCCCAGGGGACACAGCCCCCTCCTCCAGTTTCCCAGGGGGCAGGCTCGCTCCTCCAGTCTCCCAGGGGAAAGGCCCGCTCCTCCAGCTCCCAGAGGACACAGCCCCCTCCTCCAGTTTCCCAGGGGGCAGGCTCGCTCCTCCAGTCTCCCTTGGGGAAAGGCCCGCTCCCGCACTGCGTCTGTGACACTGCAGACGTCACAGTGTCCCCAGCACACTGGCTGCCACAGCCCGACTTACTTCAGTCCCGGGATATCCAGCAGGTTGGTCAGGCCTGTCCAGTTAATCTCCAAAAGCTGTGTTAAAGGAAGGACAACAGGGGTAAGTATCCGACTACGTCCAGCTGACACCAGGTTCACGGGTCTGCTTCGTTATAAGCAGAGATGTCCGAAGCCTTCGCATGCTGTGGCGTGTCAAGGGACCTCTTCTTGCTGCCACAGGGAGACCTGCTTCTGCTTTTACCTCCTGACGAAATCCACTTGATTCATCCACCCATCCAACAAACGGCAGTGGCCACGTACCATGTCTGCCACCAGATGGCAAGTACGAATCTCGGGCTGTCCTGTTACATACATCCATACACACACACATGCGCATCCACAAAGGAGAATTTCTGGATAAAGATTTATGTTCCTTTTTTTATTTTATTTATTTTATTTTTTAACAGAGGACATGTGTGTTCGCCGGAAAGAAAGTAGGAAGACTCCCCTTGCAGCCCGCCGTGGAGAATGCCACACTGCAGTCCCATCTCCCTCTCCCTCCAGCTGGGATTTCTGACATGCACACACGCGCCCAACGTGCTTTTCAAGTCACCAGGTCTGGCCACAGGGACTACCCGCCTAGCCACCACGCTCCTGGCTGACCTGGTCTACGTCCCCTTTTAATGAACGTAACTGGACTGCCTTCTGATACACTATGCCAACTGACATTCCCACCAAAACTGCACGAGAATGTCCTTTCTCCATACTTTCATCAACAGGCAATTTTAAAAAGTCAGTCCATCTGGGGCCAGCCAGTGGCCTAGTGGTTAAGGCAGCTGGATCCCACATGGCTGACTCATGGCTCAAATCCTGGACCTGCGAGCTTAAAAAAACAAACCAGGCGCAAGCGTGTACATGACCAAAGTCACGAGAGGACAATGGAGAAGAAGGTATTGCAGCGTGGTCACCCCACCCAAAGGGTGCTTTCTTGCTCATTCTCCCCGACCAACGCAGCAAAAAAGTAAAACCCAGCATGCCTATCTGCTGAATAGCAAAAAATAAATAATCAATCCATCTGGCAGGTAAAAAAATGGTTCTTTTTTTTTTTAAATCATTCCTTTTTTTATATAATTATTTATTTAATTTTATTTATTCATTTATTTTCATTTGACCAGAGAGAAAGAAAGAGTTAGAAAGCAAGCCACCAGGTCCAGGACTCAAACTACGGTCAGTCATGTGGGAGTGGCCAGCACCCTAACTACCACACCACCTGCTGGTCCCAAAAATGGTTTTTTATCACGGTTTTAATTTGGATTTTTCTGTTAGTTGGGTATGTTCCATTTTTCCATTCAACACTGTATTTATTTATCTTATAATAACTCCCACTGGCCAGCTAGGCTTCCGGTCAGTGGCTGTGGCCCAGTAAAAACGTTGACTGGAAGTACCGCTTCTCCCATCAACACGGGTACTGAATTTAATAAGATGAACTGTGTTTTAGAATCATAGAACTGCTATCCGCTTCTCCCATCAACACGGGTACTGAATTTAATAAGATGAACTGTGTTTTAGAATCATAGAACTGCTATCCGCTTCTCCCATCAACACGGGTACTGAATTTAATAAGATGAACTGTGTTTTAGAATCATAGAACTGCTATCCGCTTCTCCCATCAACACGGGTACTGAATTTAATAAGATGAACTGTGTTTTATAATCATAGAACTGCTATGTGAAACTGCATGATTTCAACTAACCATGTACTGGGTCATCGAGAAAGTCATTACGCATTTTTGTATAGAAAAGTCTGTCATGACTTTCCTGACAACCTAACAGAGTAACGAAACTTCTCAAATCCTTTTCAGAAGAAAGTGATTACAACAACACACGCACTACGGGAGTCAAGAGCTCTTGGGCAGAGAAATGAGATACAGATACACAAATCAAGAAGGGAAGAGAAGGTAATCCATCTTAAATTCAGACTGCATATACCAGAAGGAAACCACGCTTTTCTTTCCCTTCCTGAAAAGAAGTTCATTTTCCTAGGCCCATAGTGAGCAGGTCTAGAAGCCATGACATCCCCAGGGACCACCAGCACCACTAACCCCGACGGGGACCTCTGACTACACTCCCACTGAGCGGAAGCAGAGACATCTCAGAAAGGGCTGGCCCAGGGCTGGGCACCTCACTGGTCACCAGTGGAGTGTGCACAATGATCTTACTGGATTGGTGCAAGATGAACTGCAGTTTCAGACGGAGTTGTACATCCTAACTAGGCTCAAACACCTTTATCAATCAGGCTAGGAGCCATTACAATCAACACGTCTTGTGGACGAGCAATGAGTGCTTATCCCTGTAAGGTGGCGTCCTGTGCTCGGGCCCGGCAGACTCCTGGAGAGCACCTTCTGCACCTGCTGGCTGTGGAGGCACAGAGTGCCTGGATGCTAGAGGGCATGGGGTCAGCTGGCCGGGCGCCGCGAACATGACGAGTAAGCAGGACTCCACAGCCCAGTTCCCTCACCTTTTTTTTCCCCCCAAAGGGCGCACGCGCTCATCGGAGAGAGACAGAGGGAGACAGTGAGAGAGAAAATGAGATATCACCCCTTGGGGGAACGGCTATGCCACAACCCCTTTTCCACCTGGGATTGTGGGTGTGCATGCACACAGTCCTGGCATGGCTTTAAGCTGGTCTGGGACTTGAACCACAGTAGGCCATGTGGGAGGCCAGTGCCTTAACCACTACACCACCTCTCTCCCTTCATTCAACTTCGCAGGTGTCGGTTGTGCCCCGAGTGGCCAGGCACTGTGGAGAAGGGAGCCAGACCCTTTCTGTGGACCAGGGCCAGCTGCAGGTCGCTGTGTTTGGTGTGTCTGGCCGGCGTGCTGGGCACCCTCCTCAGGAGCAGGGCTTCGCCAGGATTCGGGAGCGCGGTGACTCAGGCCCCTAGACAGCAACCGTGCCCTTTTCTGGTGCAAGTCTGACTTGGGAAGCGAGTGAAGCTCCTTCTCAGTCCAGTCACTGAGCTGGGCATCACCAGTGGTACAAAATCCGCCTTTTGTCACATCACGATCCAATCAAGAAATGGTTCACTGTTGTGTGAACAAGAGAAGATGACACTTAAAAAAGGTGGGTTTTGGTCAGCTGACGAGGCATCCCGGACCTAGCCTTTTCACCTTTCCAGTTTGCTTCAAGTGCTGAATGACCAAAGAACGGTTGACGCCGAGCTCTTCCGCAACGCCCCGTGTTGTTACAGGAGGGTCAGGTTCGACGACTGCGCTCAGCTGGTCGCTGTCAGTGCCAGTAGCTGGCCACCAAGTTCCTCATCTCCAAAGCTCACATCTCCTCTGCAAACCTTGTGGAACGAACCCCCACTGCACGGCACGGTGTGAACAGCTCCTGGGCCGGTGCGTTTCGATGCCGTCCCCACCACTTTACAGCCCAATCTGAATTCAATTAAGTATACCACTCAAATTAGTTTTCTGTCTAATGTCATTTCCATAGTCTGATGTACATATAAAATAAACAATAAGTCATTAGTAAAACAAATTTAAAAAGCGATAAATTTAAATTAAAAGGACGTGTAACATAACCACACTTACTTAAGAACTTATCCCATTTCAAACAGCAAATCCCCACAAGGCAAAAACCAGTTACTCTGCACCAATCTGTAACTGGCGATGCAGAGCTGTGTGAGGAACTGGGTATGCCCAAGCGTCGGGCTGCACTCGACGTACTTCAAACCCTGTTTTATATGCAGTGTGCTCTCGCTTCATCTAGGTCAGGGAGTCCCTGCAGAAGGAACCATAAGAAGGAAGAGGTACATTCGGTAAAATCGCCTGCATCTTCAGAAACCCAGGGTTTACAAGGGCATTGCTACAGGAGGCTCTCGATGACTCCGTTCTAGGGGTCCTTTCTCCTGGTGGCCAATCTCTTTCAGAGAAGGTCAGAGACAGCACGGAACTCCGCGTCTGTCGAGTGAAAAGCCCAAGCACACTGGGGGGGCAGCAGGAGGTGCAGAGGTTAGGGTGCAGCATACCACGTGGCGGACTGCAGCTCGGTCCCAGATCCAGCTTGAGAAACACACCCAAAATCCCAAGAGAATACAGGAGGAAAGGGATTGCAGTGTGGCCTCCGCCCTGGGGGTGATTTCTCACTTTCCCTCTCTCTCTCTGTCTTCGGCAAGCACACACACCCTATAGCAAACTTGAAAAAAAAAAAAAAAAAAAAAAAAAACCCAAACCCCCAACGTGGGCCCTAATCCCAGATCCAGCTTGAGAAACACACCCAAAATCCCAAGAGAATACAGGAGGAAAGGGATTGCAGTGTGGCCTCCGCCCTGGGGGTGATTTTTCTCACTTTCCCTCTCTCTCTGTCTTCGGCAAGCACACACACCCTATAGCAAACTTGAAAAAAAAAAAAAAAAGAAAAAAAATCCAAGCACCCTACGTGGTCCCTAAGTCACGACTACACTGTCCACAGAGACGGGAGAGCCACACGGACTCCAGGAACAGGACTGCAGGCCTGCTGAGGAAGGGGGCAGGAAGGCTTGTAAGGAACACCAGGTGCCACCACAACAGCAGAGGGGAGAGTGAGGACATGCCATTCCTAGACGCTCTTTCTAACTGTCCTGCTCACATCCTGTGAGTTCCAGTCTTGCTACCTCCAAAGAAATCCCCGGCAGCCCTAGCAGCATTAAAGTAGAACCGTGCTGTGCTGACAGCTCCCGGAGACACAGACGACAGGCCTCTGGGCGGGAGGTGCCGTCCCTGAAGGGCGAAAACGTGTGAGCCCTGGCGACGTGCGAGCCACCGGGTGCTGGTGCTGTGGGTCCAAGCACGGTGTGGTCCTCGGGCCCACGGAGTGTCTGAGTGTGACTTTGGGAAGTCCGTGTAAAGCTATTCATTGGTGGTTCGGACCTGTTACAGTCCTCAGGGGGCACAGAAGGGCTTTAGCTGAGAAGCCTCAAGTGCCAAGCGGGTGCTACGGTGAAGACTGCAACAACAAAATGTGGACAGGGAGAACCACGAAGGGAAGGGTCTCCTCCCAGCCCCGCTCCGCGGCTCCCACGGCAGCCTGGCGCCCTGCATGTCCGTGATGGC